TCTTAAAAAAAAAAATGCCATGTACTGGGCCTCCTTGGTGGCACAGTGGGTTGTGTGCTGCACTGTGAAGCTGTCCATAGGCTCTGCAGCACGGTTTCGGCTCCTGGCCGGCCAGGGAGATTCTCACATGGCGTGGCAGACATCTCCTGTCTCACCCACCACTCCCCTCAGCACTACTTTTGGTCCGTCTGCCTGTTCTGCTCCCGCTCTCTCTGGTGAATTCTCTCACCCTCTGGCACCTTTGACCTGTACTCCCATTCTTATAGATATAAATAAATCTTAAAAAAAAAATGCCATATACTTTGCCAAAGTTAAGATTAGGGATGTTCCAGAATTGAAAGTAGAATGCTCATGAAAATATTTGGTTGCCATCATCTATGTGCATTAAGATAAAAGACGTAGACTTAAACTATTCATTTATATATAACCTTCATTCATGATTCAGGTTCCAAAAGTTGTTCCAGTTTCACTTCAATAATGGTTATTAAATTAATATAGGCCCAAATTAAGATTTTCCTAGGTGATTTTACACCCCGCCCCCCCAAAAAAAAGAAATAAAACCCATTTGCTTACTCCAAAGCATTTCCCAGAAACTCTTCTATGAAAAATCGCCCTATTAACAAATTTATTCATTTTGCATAGAAGAATTGGGGTATAGGCCAGAGGTGTGTGTGTGTGTGTGTGTGGTGGAGGTGGGGGTAGCAGTATATGTGTGTAAGGATTCACCAGAGATAGAGTATGGAGCAGAACAGGCAGAAATACACTACTGAGATATACTGTTGAGGGGAGCAGCAGGTAAGATAGCAGAGGTCTGCTATGTGGGTTAGCTCCCTGGCCAAGGATCCAATTCAGCCTGTAGCAGTGGTAAGACTGAGTGACACTTAACCCCTAGGCTACCAGGTATACCCCAGTTAACAAATTTAATAGATACAGTATTCTCTGCCCTACTAAATTCATTATGTATTTGAGAATATTTTTTAAAAATCTGTTAGTTGGAACTAACCTACCTTTCCATGTTCTTACATTTCAACAACTGCATCTAATGTTCTACATCACACAGTTTGGGAAACACTGCTTTATGAGGTAGACCTGTCTGAGATGATGCCCTGTTCTCACATTCCACAGGAAGTCACTTAGCCTAGATCTGCTTTTCAGTGAAGAAGCTACATGGGGTTTATCAGTTCCATGGAACTGAGTCTGAGCCAGACCAAACTGCACAGACCGAGTCCTTCCAAAGGCACCACAATTGACAACTCACCTTCAGAAACAATTTCATTACCATAGGTCACTCACAAAAAAGCTGCCCTGTATGCACACTGATGCAAAAATATTCAATTATAGTCTTTTCTATGTGACAGTTTTTTTTTTCCTTAAGGACTTACAAAAATAATCTTGTTAGCATTGTTATTGAAAATGCAAGAAAAGTATTTTCTACCCAAACACATTTTAAAGAGTAGCTAGACTCTGACATAATAATCTTTCAGAATATTCATTGTCCAAAAGTTATTTTGCTTCCTGTTTTGAGATATTTTTTCCAGAGTTGCATTACTAAATTATGCTATTTTCATGTACATTCAAGCTCTTATTTCATACCATCTTTTCTAAAGAAGAACTTTTCATTGACTTGATTAAGCATTCAAAAGCATGTGCTAGAATAAATTAGTTGGACTTATTTATAAATTTATGAGAAATCTATTTTGGTTTGCTTTCATATTGCCATTGAGTTGTAAATTGCCAAATTGTCATCATCAACCTATATAATTGTTTTTTTGGTGTTTTATGAAAAGAAAATGTTTTATTGGGTGATACCTAATATCATAGCTTTATAAAATATTGTCTTTCAAATACATGCTTCCTGGTTCTATTTGCGTCACACATGTACTTTCAAGTTGCTTGCCTGGGGATTGGGCATGAGTGTAAAATTTCAAAATTTAGCCTCATTGAAATGAGCTTCATTGGACCAGTTTTTAACAAAGTAGGATATATAAACATATTAACCATTCTAGATTAATCATGGCATAGTCTTAATTGTTTTTTAATTACATCAAACTAATTTGTTTACATAACACATACTATGAGTTAGTCGAGGTCTTCCTCGTATAGCTCTTTTCTGCACTAATTGCACACTCTGTATTTGTTAATTGTTATTAAAATTTTAGTTTTATTTAAATATATTAGCTCAGAAGGGTCTTATACTTTGTAAGAGAAACAGTAAAGTGGCAACTATATCATGAGAATTTAAGTTAAATAATCATGGCATTTAGAGATCTGATAAGTGAGAAGCAAAATTTCAACAAGCGGTTGGGGCACTTTGTTTTTTAAACTCTGTATGGGGTTTGGCAGATTTGCACCCTCACTTTTATTTTATTTTATTTTATTTTATTTTATTTTATTTATTTATTGTTTTGTGGGACCCTTGCCAGTGGCCGGGGATTGAACTGGCGCTGCAGAGGCTGCGGGCAGCCTCGCAATCCAGCGCTCAACCACTGTACCACCAGCGGAGGCCCTGCACCCTCATTTTTAAAAACAAAAACCTGCTACCAAAAGCTGGCTTGGAAGGACTTGGAAATTTATACAACTAGCAAACTGACAAAAAATATGCAAAGAATCAACTCTGCATTACTGTGAAGATACTAATATAAAGGGAAATTGCTTGGTGATAAAATTAAGAGATACAGAGGAAATCTCCTGAATAAAATGGGATATAGCATTGTAGACCATTTTGATGTGATTCTACTTTCATTTTGACCATGCAAGTTTTGGGGTAAAGCAAACATCAGGTGCCGGAGGAAGATAGTTTAAGGCCTTTCCTGAGATTACAAATAGGCATTCAGAGATTCAGATCATTTCAATTCAACAAATATGTAAAGTCTGTCTATTTTCTTCTAACAGATTTTAAGCAAAACCAAAAGAAAACATAGGTTATTAACTTTCGGAATGGCTAAGGAGTTATGAAATGTATAAAAATATCTGAATTCTAAAGCTTTGCCATTAAGCAGAATTGGAGGAAAGGGAAGAGATTAGGCTGTGACAACAATGGTTGAAAGTTGAAAGTCTCTTATACTCCAAATCTTGTATTTTTTTCTGAGGCCTAACTCAAGATTCATTCTCTCCACTAATCCTTGTGAGGTTCACATCCACAGTACTATTTTGTTTATTTTGATATCTAAAGTACTCTTTGGAAATTACATACTATATATTTGATGTGTACATTGTTTCCTAAATTAAAATTAAAAGTTCACAGATTATTTTCTTTTAGATAAAATGCTGTTGAATGAATACCTGCAGAATTGTCAGTACAAACAAGAAAATTAGAAAGATTAAAAAAAAAAAAAAACACTATCTGCCCTGAATCTATTTGGGCAATGATTTTCCATAAACAATAAACTTCATTACAAGCCATATTAAGATTTAGGGAGGTTAGGAATGAATGAAGACTCAAAGGACTTCGCTAGTTTATATCAAGGACTGGAAGAGTCAGAAGAGAGGACTAAAAATGATAAATTTCATAAGATGCCAACTTGGACTTAAAAATACAATATTTGACTTTTTTTGTTAAGGGAAAAATAGTTTATTCTAGCATCATTTACAACATGTACTGGATGCTGTAATACTGGGTTTTGTATTTTTTTCTAGTTTATTTGAATATTAGTAGAGAATAAGGAAGATGCTTGTGTATACAGCCCAAAGAATTTGAGCTATGTGGATAAATAATACTCTATATTTGATCTCTTTAATAAAGCTTTCAATATCCTATTAGGTGACAAGTGTTGGTTACCTTCCTTTCATAATAGGGAGACTGATGCTCAGAGAGTAAGCTAAGCACCCAGATGATGATTTCTAATGCCATTTCTCATTAAGGGAACCAGAGAATTCACATAATAAATACTGATTTGCTGTCTGGGACAAGAAATGCATGAGATGAGCTTGTAACATTTTGACACTGGAGGTGGCAAGAAAATCATCTAGATGACCAAGTACCTGTCAGGGAGACTCAGGCTACCTGGCTCTTGATGGTTTGAACATCAAATTCACAAGTTCATAGTGATATTTTAAAATCTCCCGGGGTACTGGGAGTATTGATCACTTTTAGAATATAATAGGGAATAAAATTACTTTAAAAACACATAATAGGAAATTTGATAGCATTTATCTAGCCTTTCCTACATGAACTCTACCTCATGGTAATAAAATTTAAATTTTTCTATATAGATATTCCTGCCTGGAAATAAGGGAATGATAGAAATAGATCACTACTTTGTAATCTTGAATACAGTAATGGTCATCAGTGTCCCTAACCTCTAAAGAGAAAGGCAGGCAGACATCATGTGCCTCCTGAGGAACACTGGCGCTAGGGCAGTGATTCTGCCACAACCCAAATGGGAGTCTGTGCTCACTTCCAGATCAGTGTATGAGAACACACACCTCAGGAATGGAATGTAGCCAACAAAGTCAGAATAGGTCAACAACTTGGTTTCTTTAGCAAACAAATTGCAAGAAAAAAAAGGAAACACCCATGAACTTAGGATGTTTAGGAGATATATCAACAAACTGCAACATGTGGACTTTGTGTTACAGTTCTAAGAAAAAAAAATTATAAATCATGAGATAATTTGTTTTTATTTATATATATTTATAGATGAAATTTCATTATAGATGGGATTTGGTTTGAAATCCTACAGTATTTGCACCTTGGAAGAGGTTATTCAAATGCAAAGTGAATGGCCATGGACCAGTGGCAACTGCAGCCAGCAGTGGTGGATGACTACTGCTAGTCTTGATTTAAAGCATTTCATCATAATGGGAGCTTTGGTGGTGGGTGTGGTGTGATATACAGGATCACATCCTATTCCCTTAACACAGTGTTGTAAACCAATGTTACCTTAACTAAAAAAAAAAAACAAACAAACTTGGATTTTGTATTTGTACTTTTGGCTAACGATCTGCTTCAAAACTATGCATTACTGTATTTTACAACAAACTTAATTCCTTTTGAACAGGGCGCATACGGTCCCTATTCCTCTGATGAATGCATATCGCTGCCTGTTTACACCAGTTCTGAAAGAGACCGCGTGGTCACCAATATTGATGTTCCCTGTGGGGGCAGCCAAGACCAGTGGATCCAGTGTGGAGCGGCTCTATTTCTGAAAAATCAGTAGACTCTTAACAATTCGCAAGTAGACTCTCAGACAAAGCTGTCCTAGCAAGAAGATACAGTGATGACTTAAACATTTACTGTGTGGCAAGTGTACACTGGAACGTGAGCCCAGATGCCTACATGAAGTTGCACAGTTTGCCTCACTGGGTTTGTATTTAGCAGTAATGGCAGCACTGGGCACCTTTGCAACTTAAGGGAGTTAATGTGAAAATGGAGTATTCCTTTTAAAACATTGAATGTTTCTGTAAGGCAGTTCACTTTCAGTGGATTGAAGATGTAATGTTTTTGAGAAGAGATTTAAAGTATATGTAAGGAGTCAGTAATAAATATTTTGGCTATCACTTTGCATAATTAATAAATCATTAATAGTTATTTTGATCTTCCATGGTTTTAAATATGTTCTCTTTATAAACATTGACATGCTCCTCTTTTTAAACAAGGAAAAGGGGATATTTTAGTTACAGTCTGAAACAAAATATTTTTTGCTAAGATTTTTGTTTTGAAAATCACTGTATCACCAATCTAGGAAGAGATGGGAACTTTTCATGAATATGAATATTGGTGAAAAACCTAGATAAAATGCCATTTTTTTTAAGATCCATCTATTTATGCATATAAGAACTGTGATACAGGCCAGAGGTGTGGGGGGGTGAGAGGATTCACCAAAGACAGAGTGGGGAACAGAACAGACCGATTGACTGAAACACACTGCTGAGGGGAGCAGCAGGTGAGTCGTGTGGGTAGCTCCCTGGCTGGGGAACGAACTCACGCTGCAGTGGATGCGGATAGCTTCGTAGGCTACTTCTACCCCTTGTGCCACCAGGGAGGCCCCCAAAATACCATACTTAATAGGGATTCAAAAACAGTGGGGGACAGGGGGAGGAGAAGAGGGATTAGGGTCAGAATAAGGGGGGTGGGAATTGTATGGGGAATATAACCAAAATGAAAATGCATACATTGTGCAAAAATGAAAAATGTAAGAATTATATAAAATAAAATAATTTATTTAGAAAAAAGTCCTTTTACAACGGGGAACATGGCAAGGCTTACCTTCTCTCCCACCAGTACAGAGGTTCCCATGGCAAGGGACCAGAGGGAGGCAGGAGAAGGGCAAAGGTTTTTGTGCTCTTGTTACAATATTCAAAAATAAAATATTACAGGGTAGAAATTGGAAGTCCTTATGTTAAGCATTTTTTTAAATGGGTATATATTTTACATCAGGTGTAGTCCCTATAGAATTTCCATCACCAATTCACCGGTGCACCATCACGTTAGTTCCCTGTGCTCTTCCCACCCTTGTTTTGATACCTCTCCTTCCCCCTCCCCTGCAAAATGCTTCTGATTTATAGTTATCTGATTATTTTTGTTGTTTTTTTATTTGTTATTATTGTTTTCCCTGATCCCTTATTTGGTTCCCCTATATTCCTCCTATAAGTGAAACCATCCGATATTTTTCTTTTCTTTCTTGCTTATTTCACTGAGCATAATTCCTTCTAGCTCCATCCACATTGCTGCAAATGGCATGATTTTATCTTTTTTTGATTGCTGAATAATATTCCATTGTGTATATATGCCACATCTTCTTGATCCAGTCATCTATTTTGGGGCATTTGGGTTGTTTCCTAGTCTTACCTATTATAAATAGTGCTGCAATAAACATAGGGGTGAAGGTCTCCTCTTGAATTAGTGTTTTTGTGTCCTTTGGGTACATCCCTAGTAGTGGAATTGCTGAGTCATATGGTAGCTTCATGCTTGGGAGGTTCTCTTCAATTATCTCCTTGAACAGTTTCTCGATTCCTTGGTCTCTCTTGTCACCTTCTGGATTCCTATGACTCTTTTTTTTTTTTTAATAAATTTTATTTTTATATTCCCCATACAATTACAATCCCCTTATTTTGACCCAATCCCTCCCCACCCCACCCCCCACCCCCCCATAGAGTGTCTCTGGTTCATAGTTTTTTGTTGATTTTAATTATCACTTTCTTATAGTTATTCATTTTCCTGGTCCCTTATTTAAGTTTTCTAGATTCCTGCTATGAGTGAGACCATCCGGTATTTTTCTTTTTCTTTCTGGCTTATTTCGCTGAGCATGATCCCTTCCAGCGCCATCCATGTTGCTGCAAATTGCATGTGTTTATCTTTTTTGAATGCTGAGTAATATTCCATGGTGTATATGGACCACATCTTCTTGATCCAGTCATCTATTTTTGGGCATTTGGGTTGTTTCCAAAGCTTAGCTATTGTAAATAGTGCTGCTATAAACATAGGGGTGCAGGTGCTCTTTGGAATTGATGTTTCTGTGTCCTTTGGGTAAATCCCTAGGAGTGGAATTGCTGGATCATATGGAAGCTCTATGTTTAGTAGGTCAAGAAATCTCCACACAGCTCTCCATAGTGGTTGGACCAGTTTGCACTCCCACCAGCAGTGCAGGAGAGTTCCTTTTTCTCCACACCCTCGCCAACATTTGTTGTTGCTAGTTTTTTTAACATGTGCCATTCTCACTGGTGTAAGATGATATCTCGTGGTAGTTTTGATTTGCATTTCCCTGATTACAAGTGATGTTGAACATTTCTTCATATGCCTATTGGCCATTTGCATTTCCTCCTCAGAGAAGTTTCTTTTTAGTTCTTCTGCCCATTTTTTGACTGGATTATTTTCTTTGTTGTTGTTGAGTCTCGTCAGCTCTTTGCAGATTTTTGTGATCAGTCCTTTATCATTAGTGTTGTGCGCAAAAATGGTGTCAGATAGCACTCGAAGTGTTCCTTCATTCTTTTTCTTTTGTATTTCTCTTTCCTTTTCTGTTTTGATTCTTTTTATTCCTGTATTTTCTAGAGTACTGATTCATTCTTCCATTTCATCATCCTGTTTTCATTGCTTTTCCCAGAATTCTTTGTCTCCTCCTCCACAAATCTTTTAATCTCCTGCATTTGTTTTTCCTTTCTTATTATTTTCGTTCTTCAGTTCATTGATTATTTGTCTCGTATCAATTTTTTCCTTTCATCGTCTTTCTGTTTTTTGATCCTGACGATTCTAAATTCTTTGACAGGTAGAGAAGTTCTTCCATGTTATTGTTTTGAGTTCTGGTGACTAGATTTTCTTTCTGTGATGTGTCCTTCCCCTGAGAGCTTGCTTATTTGTATTTTTTTTCTCCCTATTGTTTTCTAATTTGTTCTATGCAATGGGACACTGTGCTGCTGGCATTGGCTGGCATTTCTTCTGGGTGCTCCTAGGATGTCAGAAACTGGTACTCAGACTGGGTCCAGCACTATTGCACCAAAACTCCATAAGGATAGTGATGCTGTGGGTATCTTGATGGGTGCCGCCCCTGATGACCCCCATCCTCTGTATTTCCTCCATTCGAGGGGGGGATGGTGGGACCCCTAGCTTTCAATTGTGGTGGCTGGGGTTGCATGCTCTTGGTGGTGGCAAGTCCCACCCCTCTCTGGCTTCCAACTGTGGTGGGGATCTGCATGCACCCGGTGGCAGTGGGTCCCACGCCTGCTAGGCTCTTGTGTGGCGGGGAGGAAGGTTGCTGCACACTCCCAGGGACAGTCGTCCCTCCCCTGCGGGCTTCTGACTCAGTGGGGAGGTGGTGGCTGCACGCCCTGGCGGTGGCGGTCCCGCCCCTGCCCAGCTTCCTGTGGCGTGGGTGTCGGCTGTGGGCCCTGCCCGCCAGTTGGGCCCAACTCAGTTCAGTTCCAAATTGCTGGCTTGGGACCTGCCAGCGCCCTGCTCCTTCCACGCGAATGAAACTGCTGGCCTTTGTTTCACCTTCTGGAGTTTTCAGCTGATTCTTCCTGTTGCTTCCAAACTTCATCTCCTTTTCTTTTCCTGGGTGAAGTGGTCCGGGCTTGTGGGTGGAAGAGGGTTGAAGGTGTCTGGGTCAGTATCTCCCTCTACCCCCTTATCTAATCTCACCTTCCCCCTGCTTCTGTTGGGTCACCAACCCTGTCCAAAATATCTGGGTCCTGCCAGGGACTTGCTGTAATTTCTTCCTTATCAGTTGTTTTTAGGAGAGAATTTAATCCCAGTGTCCCTTCGCCGCCATGTTGGTGACGTCACTCAGTCTTAAGCATTTCTAACCAAAAATTCTTTGGAGGTTTTTATGTCTTATTCCAGACGTTACATTGTAACTCTCAACTAGAGGTGAAGAACTGGTTTAACAAAATAACAAAATCCCCTCCTGTCACTTGGAACATCTTCTTTCATTTTACTTCCAGTCACTTGTTTCCATTTTGTCAAAATTAATCATGTTTGATTTATCTCCCACCCTTTCCATGGGGCAAGTGTGAGCATAGAGGAGTGTGCCCTCAGGACATGATGGGGCATGCACAGGACTACGCAGCCTGGGGTGCCTGGGGGTACAGGGAGCCCTGTGATGGGGGTAGATAGGGGCAGAAGTCAGTGCAACGCTGACATGACTGGCTGGCTGGCTGGTTGGACGATCATACAGGAGATTCATTATGTCCATTTCACTAATGAGGGAAACTAGAGGCAGGTTAAGATACTTGTTTGGCCAATAATTGGTAAATGCTAAGAGAAAAACTCACTTTTTGTTCTGTCCTTGAGGGACAAGCTGAAAGTCAGCAAAGCAGAATTCTTTCATGTCTGTCGGCTTGGAACTGAGTCTGCTTGAAAGGAATTAAGCAGAGATGTTTCAGCACCACATGTTGGTCAATTCTTCATCTTGACAAGTATTTGCTGCAGCAGAGTTTCTGTCAAGAAGATGAAATGAATTGACAGTGCCAGTCAAAACACGTGCTACATTTCAAAATGAAAACACTTAGTCATCTCTATAAAAATTAGAAAGAGAATGAGGTAAAAATATTTTCTATTTTAAACTTCACTCTCAGAGCTACCTGCTGAAACTGTGGAATACTGTATTCATAGATGGATACAGATAGATCAATGTATAGTGTAGAGTAATAGAATGAACATCTCACAACGCTTAAGAAAACTAGTAACAGCGCTTGTTTCTTAAGACATTTTCAGTAACTCATTTCCAACCTTGAACCCAAGATGATTATCCCAGTTTTGATTTTCATAATCATCTTGTTTCTTCGTAGTTTTTATGAATATTCATAAATCCCTAAGCCATATAATATTTTTAGGGTTAGCAAATATTTGCCTCTAATTTTGGACTGGCTTCATTTTCACAGTTTTGGTTTTTATAGAAATAGTACTTATTTTGTGACCTTTTATTGTGAATGCTTGAGTTGGCCACAATTTACTACAGTCTTCCTTTTGAAAGTTTGAATTGCCCTGGTTAACCACTACAAATGATGCTGCTGCCAACATTAGGAAATCTTCCTTCTGAGTAGACACCTAATGGGGGAACTGAAGAGTCTCCGGTAGG